GGGGCACCGGTCATCAAGGAAGTTACGGCGCTCCCGGAAAGGTATTCGTTATGAGCCACACTCAAGCCAACCTCGGAAGCGAAGAGGTCCCGGAAGATGGAAACCCAGTCCCGGAAGACGAGGACCATGCGGATCCCACAGAAGAAAATCCAGAAAACGAATTCTGTCTGGGATAAACCGTCACACCCCTTGTAACCACCCCCTCTTTTTGTCATAAAGACCACTTATTTAGCTTAGCTATTTCAAAAGTATTATGAATAAAGGTTTTGATCGAATTTCAATTCCACTACGGGGTAAAGCACAAGTTATGCCATCAACCCAACCCTTTCCCCACTAAAGGACGAAACAAGGAAAGGGACAAAAAACCATGCCATCAAGAAATGCCTAATGTCACCATTAGAAATTAAACCATAGACCTCCTATTTACAAGTCCAAGTCCCAACCACCAAGCCATGAGTGTTTCTTGAAACCACAAGGGAACACTCCCTTGATAAACCCCTCCAAATCCCTAAAACCCATAAAATCCCCAAATCATAAACCCTCCTCCTTCTTCCCCAAATCACCCAAACCCCCTCTTCCCTCTCTCTCACGCCCCTCCTAACCTTCACCGGCCGTCCACCGTAGAAGCGCCGCAACCACGCAACGCCGCCCAACCAAACGCCGCCGCCGGCCGACAAACGACCGCCAGCCCGCGACGCCGCACCACCACCCGAAACCGGCCACCCCACTCCACCCGGTAGACGCCCAGCTCCAGCCTGTGCACCTGGGTTCTCTAGCCCAGGTGTGGCATAGCACCCCGTACACTTATGATATACTTTGGGATGTAATGAGATATTACCTTTATTATATAAGCTTAAAATGTCTTGAAAATCTGGGGTTTTACAATCACTCACCTCTTTTTCGCTGATGACAGTTTAATGTTTTTCAGGGCCACTCAGCAGGAAGCTTTAACAATCAAAGCTTGTTTAGACATATATAGCATGGCTTCGGGGCAGCTCATAAATTTTGAGAAATCAAGTGCAGTATTCAGTGCCAATACCAAACAGCACATGCTCTAGTTAGTCACGGATTGTGTAGGAGTGAAAGCCGTTCCAGATTTGGGCCATTACTTGGGACTCCCATCAGTCCTGGGTCGAAACAAAACTGCTAGCTTTCGTTACATCGAGGAAGCCGTACGGGCTCGAATTGGTGTGTGGACCCACAAACTGTTGTCCCGCGCAGGTAAAGAAGTTCTCCTCAAGAGCATAGCACAAGCTCTCCCGATCTTCTCTATGTCGACTTTCCTTTTACCGGTACGTGTCTGTGACACACTTGAAAAAGCGTTCAATAGCTTTTGGGGGGGGGGGGGGGGGGGGAAGGCATGAGTAATCGGGGATTGCATTGGCTTAGTTGGGCTCGAATGTGTAGACCAAAGGCGGAGGGTGGCCTCGGTTTCAAGAGGCTACACGAATTCAACCTATCTTTGTTGGCCAAACAAGGATGGCGTTTGCTAATACATCCGGATTCGTTGGTCAGCCGACTTCTTAAAGCAAAGTATTATCCATCCACGGATTTCATGGGGGCTCAAACTGGCGGAAATCCAAGCTTCATTTGGCGTAGTATTATGGCCGGGCAGCGCGTCCTTCGGCTGGGGATAGCACGGCGTGTGGGTGACGGATTGGATACAACTATCTGGGGGTGGAATTGGCTAGCAGATGCTGACAAAGGACCATTAACCACTCCATGCGTGGAGGATTTGCGAGAGGCCAGAGTTAGTGGGTTACTTAATGCTCAGGGGACCTGGGATGTTGAAGTTCTTCGTGACATGTTTAATGCGGCGGACGTACAACGGATTCGAGCAACGCCAGTTAGTCCCCAATACAAGGACTCCTGGAGGTGGATTGGGGATCTCCGTGGCCAGTACTCAGCAAAACATGGCTACCGTCTACTCATGCATGATAACAGGCAACTCGAGGAACTTGGGAATTTCCAGGCCTGGAAGGGGTTGTGGTCGCTTCCGATACCACCGAAGGTCAAGAACCTGCTGTGGAGATGCGCGAGAGGAGTGCTGCCAGTGCGTGAAAACCTTCGCTTGAGAAGGGTGTGCATCGGCGGCGGTTGCCCTTTATGCGGCTTCGCGATAGAGACGGCCGAACATCTATTTGGCGATTGCATTTTTGCCAGGACTGCTTGGGGGGACGACGATGTTATGCTGGGAAGGGATCTTCTCAGCTTCATAGACTCTGTTATAGGCCAACAATCCTCCCAACAACCCTCCTCTGGGGCAGTGAAACTTGCGGCAGTGTTCTGGAATCTCTGGCTTGCCCAGAACGATGTGGTTTGGCACGACAAGATTCCGTTGGTGGAGGAGGTCTGCGCACAAGTAAGGCGCTCCCTTAGCAACTGGGAGACTGCTTATTCAAAGCCTGTTCGTGCGGCTGGTGTTTCTGACCGAGCAGATGTTTGGAAACCACCACCCCGAGGCGTAATCAAGTGCAACATTGACGCGGCTGTGTTCGCAAATGGCGCTGGTTTTTGGGCGGTCTTGAGGGATCATGACGGCTTGTTTGTAGCAGCTAGAAGCGGGTGGCTTGAAGGTGTGACCGATCCGTATTTGGCAGAGGTCGTTGCAGCTAAAGAAGCCTTGTCTTGGTTGAAGGCACAAGAACATAGAGCTTATTTCCTTGAATCTGATTGTTTAAATTTCTGTAATGCTTTTAATTCTCGTAGTATTGATTTTTCGTACGTAGGATCTTATGTAACGCAATGCTTATCGATTGCTAGCGACATAGGGACCGTAACTGTGGTCCATGTCAGGAGAACAGCGAACCGTGTGGCTCATGAGCTTGCTCGGGCAACCGTTTCTAAATCTGTCTCGGGGGTGTGGGTGACTAACCCACCATCTTGTATTGTCGGTTTATTATATTCTTAATGAAGCTTGTTGTTTTGTTTCAAAAAAAAAAATAAAAAACTATTTATTGATGAACTTGCATTATCGATAGAATATTCTGTATTGTGAAAATTAATATGCAATATTTTCATGATGAATCTATTTTAGGCCTATTGGTATTATTATGTACTTGCATTAAACTTGTAAATTACTGGTGCGAATGCATGGATAAAAATTTTCTATTATATATTTAAATAATAAAATTAAATATGAAATTATAAATAATTTTAATATTTAAAAGTGCACTTTTTATTGAATGTAACAGGGCGTTTAGTTGGAGGGGGGAATTATGTGGGAAAGGAATTGTAATTCCATGGGAGTTGAATTACTGAGAATAAAGTGGGAATTTAAATTCCAGTGTTTGGTTGACAGGAATAGAATTAATGGGAATTTCAATTCCAATATTTGGTATACATGGGAATTGAAAGGGAATAAGTAGTATAAAGTCAAAAATGTCTATTATTGTTGTTAGACATTAATTTTAGGTTAAAAAAGGAATGGATAATTTTGACTCATCACTATCTTTTTTCTCAGGAATTAAAATACCAGGGGGAGACATGGGATTTTAATTCCATGAAAATGGGGGAATTGCAATTCCATGGAATTGCAATTCCCTCCAACCAAACTACGGAATTTAATGGCCTTTGGAATTAGGTAGGAATTAAGTGGGAAGGGAATTTAAAATCCCTCCAACCAAACGCCCTGTAAGAGGGGGGACACGGCAAGACTATATACTCTCTGTTAGCACCCTTTTGGAGTGTTGCCTTCACTCTGTCAATCTCCAATTGTGATGGAAGATGTTTACATGTGAACTAAGCAGTAAGGGAGCTTTGGTAAAGAAGAATGGAAAAACTGATTTATTAGAGAAGGCAGATTACAATATATATGAAGATGGAAGCGGGAAGAGGGAGTTGTAACGGACTAACAGAATGAAGACAAACGGGAATTTACAATCAGACCCTTCTAATTATAACTGCTGCATGCTTCTTCTTCCAACACCCCCCCGTAAGTTGGCGCATACAAGTCTTGTATGTTCAACTTAGATGTGAAAGACTTGAATTGTGGCGTGGGAAGGGCTTTTGTAAAACCATCAGCAACTTGGTTTGAGGAAGACACAGAGAGTAGCTTGATGGCTCCCTTAGATACCTTCTCCCGTACGATGTGACAATCAATTTCTATATGCTTCGTACGTTCATGAAAGACCGCATTTTCAGCTATAGCAATGGCGGATTTATTGTCACAAAAGACTGCTGCAGGCTTCGTCATTTGTGTGTGTAAATCATCGAGAATGAAATTAATCCATTGAACCTCACAGACAATGGCTGCCAAAGCCCTGTATTCGGCTTCGGATGAAGATCTCGAAACCGTCGTTTGCTTCTTTGATTTCCAGGAGATTAAGGACTCTCCGAGAAAAATGCAGTAACCTGTAATTGAGCGACGGGTTTCAGAGCAGGTAACCCAATCGGAGTCTGAAAAAACATTAAGTTGCATAGCTTCAGTTCTTGGAAAGAATATGCCTTGGCCTGGAACTTGTTTGATATACCGTAAGACACGGTGTGCAGCACTCATATGCTTGTCAATTGGAGCATCGACAAACTGACTTAATTGTTGTGTAGCGTATGCAATGTCTGGTCTTGTAGCCGTGAGACAACAAACGACCAACAAGTCTTCTGTATGAACTAGAGTCTGTGAGCGGTTCACCATCACCATGGCACAAATGAAGTCCTGGGACCATGGGAGAAGAGGCAGGCTTGCACTCAAGGAAGCCCGTTTCTGCTAAGATATCAAGGGCGTATTTGCGCTGGCATAAGTTTAAACCAGCATCATTCCTTTGCGCTTCGATTCCCAGAAAATAATCCAATTCACCAAGGTCCTTGATCTTGAAGGCAGCGTCAAGATATGCTTTGAGTTTTTGGATTAGAGAGACATCTGGACTGGCCACCAAATTGTCGTCAACGTAGACAAGGACTGCTACAAAATTATCATCACAGCCTTTGGTGAATAGGGAGGAGTCAGACTTTGATAGTATGAATCCCATGTTCAATAGAGCCTCATTCAACTTCGCATTCCACTACCTACTAGCTTGTTTGAGGCCGTATAGGGAACGTCGCAGCTTGCACACTTGATTGGGATTTTCAGACTCAAATCCAGGAGGCAGCTTCATGTAGACCTCCTCTGTTAAATCACCATGCAAAAAAGCATTGTTTATATCGAGTTGATGAACATGCCAGGCACGAGATGAAGCCACTGCTAGGAGGATGCGTATAGTGGTTATTCTTGCAACTGGTGAGAAGGTTTCTATATAGTCAATGCCCAGCTGTTGAGTGTAGCCCTTGGCTACTAATCGGGCTTTATATCTCTCTATTGATCCGTCGGCTTTAAGCTTAACCTTGTATACCCATTTGCATCCGATGGGGATTTTACTAGTAGGCAATTCTGTGAGCTCCCAAGTATTATTTTCCTGCAGGGCTCTAATTTCAGCATTCATAGCATTTCTCCAACAATCACTCTGGACAGCCTGGTTGTATGTTGTTGGTTCATCTGTAGATGTCACTGCCAAGGAAAAAATCCTATGAGATTGAGAGACATTATCAATAGACATCACCTTAGATAATTTATGAGGGGATGATCTCTTGCTTATGGTGTTACCACAGTAATAATCCCGATACTTGTGTGGGATGCATCGCTGCCTATCAGACCGTCTGGGAGCTATCAGAATATTGTTGGCCTCTTGGACATCAAGGCAATGCTCCTCTAGATCTTGTGTGTTAGCAGCACTGGGGGGTTCTGATCCTTGAAGCTGACTCGCGAGGTCCTGTTCTTCTGTTTCTAGAAACTGAGATGAGGAGTCAGCAGGAGAATTTGTTGGTGGAGTGGTGTTAACAGACGGACTGCCATCTAACTGCTGCTCAAAAACTCTATAATCGACAGAGGTTGTGACAGGGATAAGCGGAAGAGAAGGCTCATTAGTCTGAGATTTCTCGATTTCCATATGCACTGGTTCCTTCGAGTAAGGAAATTGTGACTCATAGAAGGTCACATCTCTTGAGACAAATAAAGAACCGTCAAGAATGTCATAAAGAAGATACCATTTTGTGTGGGCTGGCAAACCAACAAAAATAGACTTCCTGCCTCTTGGAGACATTTTGTGTTTGTTTGGAGATAGGTTAGCTGCATAACACAAGCATCCAAACACTTTGATGTTTGTGAGATCCGGATTCTGCCCATATAGACGAAAGTATGGAGTGGAAAGCTCAATAACAGGTGATGGCAATCGATTAATTATAAACACTGCATGCATCACGCAGTAAGTCCAAAATTCAAGGGGAAGACATGCTTGGAACCGGAGTGCTCTTGCAATGTTGAGAATATGCTGATGTTTGCACTCAACAACTGCGTTCTGCTGCGGAGTATATGGGCAAGATTTTTGGTGAATGATGCCTTTTTACTCAAAAAACTCGGGCATGTTGAATTCTAGGCCATTGTCGAATCTGATGGTTTGAATGAGAGCACCAAACTGTGTAAACACCATTGCATGGAAGCTTTTAATAAGATTCCTAACCTCTAACTTATTCTTCAATAAACGCGGCCATGTGAACCTAGAATAATCATCAACCATAGTTAGGAAATATCGTTCTCCTTTTTGTGAGCAAACTGGAAAAGGCCCCCAAATATCAACGTGAAGTAATTCAAAGCATTTCTTTGTGGAGGTAACACTTAAGGGAAAAGAAGATCTCTTGTGTTTAGCTGTATGACAAATATCACAAGCAGTATGTTTAGTATTTAAAACTTTGATGTCTTTCAACAAATGAAGTTTATTGATGGGAAAATGTCCCAATCTTTGGTGCCACAAGACACCATTATTACATTGAACAGAAAAACTGCCGTGACTTGCGTTTGACAAAGGCTGAGATAGAATGTAGAGGCCATTCTCCTGTCTAGCTAAACCAATCTTCCTTCCAAGAGCATCCTGAATCACACACTGTCCAGATGTAAAAGTTAGGGTGCAGCAATCATCTTGTAAAAGTTTACTCACTGATATGATGTTGAATTTGAAGGAGGGGATATGAAGAACATTCTTCAAACATATTCCACCATTGATGGCAATATTCCCTATGTGCCTGACAGTGATGTGATTTCCAGTAGGTAAATGCACCTCAATTCCTTGAACAGCATGATAATCAAGGAAGAAATCAAGAGAACAAGTGATATGATCCGTAGCCCCGGAATCTATAATCCAAGTAGAAGCACACAGAGAAATAGAATTGATATGAGCATTAGAGTACTTGCCTTCAGTTGCAGGGTCTTTTTCATTGAAATTATTGAAGTTTGGCATTCGAGACACTGCTGCTGAGGCCTTTGTGTTTGAGGTCTGTCCAATCTGATTCTGGAGCAATAATAGAATTTTCTGGAGCTGTTCAGATATGCTCCCAGAATCTCCAGTGGTATCCGTCAAGGCTGCTACTGATTGCTGCTGTTTCCCCTTCGATTTGAAGCCCGGAATCCATCCCGGTGGATATCCGTGCTTTTTGTAGCACTTATCAATAGTATGACCACTCATCCCGCAGAAAGTGCACTTTGCACTCTTATTATTGTTGCCATTTCGTCTGTAATTGTAGGTGTTTACTGCTGCAATGATCTCTTCAGAAGATTCTTGGCTATGAACAGCATTGGCTTGAGTGATGTCTGAGTTGCCAATGCTCAGATTAGTGAATGAGATTTGTCTCTCCATTTTTTCGGCCATGACGAACACTTTGTATACATCCAGTAACGGATCAAGAACTAATACATTCGATTTTAAAATGTTATACTCATCGTTTAAGCCTTGGAGGAAACGTATGACCTGATCTTCATCACGTTCCTTTCTAATCTGACCAATTAGATCACAGCTACACTTCGGCTCACATTTGGATTGTGGAAGGGGTCTTAAGGTGTTCATTTCTTCCCACAGAGTCTTACACTTGGTGTAATACTCATTAATGGACAAATTTCTTTGCCTAAGGCCATATATATCGTTCTGTAAGAGAGAGATCTTCTGAGCATCATGTTGAGAGAATCTGCTCCGCAGATCCTCCCAAACAGCTCTAGCACTATCTAAATGCAAGATGCTCTGAGCTATAGACGAATGAACAGATTTAAAAATCCAGGAGCATACCATGAGGTTACATCTCCTCCATGCCGTATGCTGTCTGTGTTCTCTGTTCGGTTCGATGACGCTCCCATTGACGATGCACCACTTGTTCTTAATCTCTAGGGCGATCCACATCGAAGCACACCAGGATCCATAGTTGGAGCTTCCAATGAGGAGAGGACTGACCAGCACTGCGCTAGGGTTCTCGTTTGGGCTGAGGAACAACGGATTCTCCATGTCTTCCAGACTTCTCTGCTGCTCTGAGCTCGGATTCCCTTGTGGAATCGTGGTCGACATCGGAGGTGGAATGTTGTGGGCGGCTTGACTTGGTTCGCCGACGATCGGAGGTGTGGATTGATTTCCGATCACAGCTGCGGCGTAAGTGTTCCGGTAAGGAACCTCTGATGCCATGATGGAAGATGTTTACATGTGAACTAAGCAGTAAGGGAGCTTTGGTAAAGAAGAATGGAAAAACTGATTTATTAGAGAAGGCAGATTACAATATATATGAAGATGGAAGCGGGAAGAGGGAGTTGTAACGGACTAACAGAATGAAGACAAACGGGAATTTACAATCAGACCCTTCTAATTATAACTGCTGCATGCTTCTTCTTCCAACAAATTGTCTCATGACTTCAATCGGTGGTCATGAAATTCAATCCAATCGTCTTTCTTCTAGGAGCCATCATAGCTAACCCGTCTACAATTGCATTCAGCTCTCGGGGGATGTTCCCAATGATCACCTCCCAAACCTTTCTGAGTCAATCCTTGCATTCTTGAATAATGCTTTCGCAGGGCCCTTTCCAGATTTAGTCAGTGGTTATCCTCCGATCCAACAAAGTACATAGATATGGAGTTCCATTCCACTTTGGAACCTCTAAGGGTTGTACTAGTCCTTTGGGCTTACTTCTCTCTGCCTTAACTTTCTAATGGAGTGCAACAGTATTTAGGAAAAGTAAATAATATAATAGAGGATAAAGTAGGAAAATGAAACAAACAATTACTAAAATCAAAATACTTTGAACTATTAATTTCATCAAATAATTTGACATGCAGTTTTTTAGTTCCTGTTATAGGCCTAATTTTTTTGGATCTTAGTTGTGTTGAAACAAAATTACAGTATGTATAAAATAAAACTGAATAATATGTCACATATATTGCGTGTATATACTGTCAAATGAAACTGTAATTTAATTGAAATAATGATACTTTAATTATGTTGAAATGATACTACAGTAATATGTATAAAAAGAAAGTGAATAACATGTCTCACATATTGAGTTTATATATAAATATTGCAGTTTTTCCATATAAGTTACAATTAATTAATTTATTCATAATTAATATTACATTTTTTCTCCTTAATTACTATTATACTTCTTTTCGTAGGTATTACATATTCTTTATAAGTATTTATCCATGATTAGTATTCCTCTTTCCCTCATAATTATCTCTCAAACATCTAATAAATATTACATTTTGATTTAAAGTTATTATATTTTTCCTCAAAAATATCATAAACTTTTCCTAATTATTACATTGTCTGCATAAATAACAATCAATTTATCAATTATTAGTATTACAATTTTTCTCATAAATATTATTGGCCAGTTTACTAACGGAAAACTGTTTTTTTTTTTTGTTTTGTTTTGTTCTTTTTTTTTTCTAATTTTTCACCTTTCATTCACTATTTTTCATTTTCTGTTTTTTATTTTCTTAGATTAACGTTATAAAATTAAAATAAATTTAATTTTGAGTGATTTTTAGATATTATATTTAAAATATTTTTACATATCTTTGGTTTAAATGGAATAAATTTATTTTTTTTTTTACTTCTAAGTTTAATATATGTAAGATATTTAAAATTTGATATCTTAACCAAATTTCTATATATATATATATATATATATATATATATATATATATATATATATATATATATATATATATAACATAAATACATAGTTACTAAAAAATATATATCCGAACCAATAACCTACTAAGTTCACCTAAAATTTAGTTGAGATAATATTAATAATTTTTAACTATTATTTAAAATGTTTTTGGATATATTCATTTGAATGACATGTATATAAATATATAATTTGTACTTTGAATTTTAATATATGTGAGATTTTAATATCTGATATCCGAACCGAACTTGTATTATGATATAACATAACTAAAAATATCCAAACTAATAATCTGTTGAGTTCAATCAAAATCTAAAACACTGTATACAATTCAATTCTTAATTTTGATGATGTGAATAATGTGAATAATGTCTAACTTTAAAGTGTAAGCAAATAAGTTGTTTAAATAAGTAAATAAGTAGAAAAGATAGAAGATCGTGATACATAAAAGAAGATGATAATGAATGTAATAATTACACACACACACACACACACACACACACACACATATATATATACATATATATATATATATATATATATATATATATATATATATATATATATATATATATATATATATATATATATATATATAATTCTTTTATATTAATAGTAAGATGTGTAATTTATAATGTGCTTTCTATTCAAATTATTTTATCAAATTAATTATGTTTCATATTTTGTTATTATTACTTTTATAAAGTTTCGATTTGTTTTATTTTTCGTCCATATCCAACAATATTTACAACTATATTTATTATGTAATTTAATTTAATTTTTTTAAATTATCTCTTTTGTTTTAATGTTTCACTTTTATTGGAAAAATTTTATGAATTCGTCGCTTCGCCCCCCTCAACCGAATTTCTGGCTCCGTCCCTAGTAATAATAGTAATGTGTTATAGTGACATATAACTAAATAGATGATAGATGATTCTGTTTTTTATTTAGAAAACAGTTTTTAGGAGTGTTGGAAAATTATTTTTAGTTTTCAAAATGAAAATCTGTGCTAGTAAACGTGTTTTCTGTTTTCTATTCTCCAAATCTCCAGTTTTCCAAAAATTAGAGAAAATTTCCAGTTAGTAAACGGATATGATCCTATTTTCCATAATAAGTAATAATCAATCAAGTTATCATTAAGAGAAAATTTCAATTTTGGTCCACTGACTATTGGGATTGTGTTAATTGCAACACTTGACTTTCAAAAATGTTAATTTAGTACCTTGACTATACAATTTCTATTAATTTTGGTCACTCCGGCCAAATCTCACCGAAAAATTTTAATAGATTTTTACTTTTTTCCTTTCTTCCCCGGCGAGCGAACTCCATTTCAGGCGAGCTATTTCTAACCGGGCTGCTATGATTTGAAGCCTTAATAGATTCATAAACAATGGGTGGGGGGTGGATGACTGCACTATCACCAGGTGGAGGCGGATGCACCCCCTGCTCAAGAATATCTCTATGATACCCCTGCACAGCAGCGAAAAGTTAGAAATTTCAAAAATTACATACATTTTCCTTGGCCAGCGTATAATGTATATAATTAAAACTCAACTCGTATTCAAGAATTCAGAAGGGTAGATAATTTGTCTGAAGTCATGTTAAATTTTTGGGTTTCACGATGCTCAGGTATAGACATCTCCATGATGAAAATGATTCAGTATCTATGTTCTTTGATCACATAAGGAATGAAATTAAAAGCGAGGAAAGGATACAGAGTACATTTTTTGTATATATATATATCTGATTCTAATAATTTTCTCACAGATTTGCCAGCATATTCGGAGAAGTCGCTCACGCTCGCCGGAGATGAAAGGAAAAAAGTAAAATGACCAAAAAACCCTCATTATTTGACCTATTAAAATTTTTCGGGTGAGATTTGGCCGGAGTGACCAAAATTGATAGAAATTGCATAGTCAAGGTACTAAATTAACATTTTTGAAAGTCAAGTGTTGCAATTAACACAACTCCAATAATCAGTGGACCAAAATTGAAATTTTCTCTTATCATTAATTAATATTACATTTTATCTCATAAGTAACTTTTCAACCCATAAATATTTCATTTCTGATTTGAAAGTATTATATTTTTTCTAGACCAGGCAATTATGGACACGACCCGTTAACATGACACGAAACCGGACACGAAAATAACGGGTTAGTGTTTAGCCTTAACATGTCCCGGATCGTTAACGGGTTGACCTGTTAAGGACCCGTTATGTTTCGTGTCTTAACGGGTCTACCTGTTAAACCTATTAAGAACCCGTTTAACCAGTTAATATTATCGTGTTAACCCGTTTACACAAATCTGTTTAGATCCCGCTAAGAACCATTGTCATGAATGAGATTACTAAAGATATCATTAACATAAGTACATGACTAATGATGAATTTACTACATTAGGCTAAAATCCTACACCAATTATTCATGTTCAACAATATGAAGTTTGAATTTTTATTGTGTTCAATTTTATTCTAAAACTCGCATGGACTTCTTTAATTATGATTTTTGGATTTTATTATTTTATGAATGTTATAAATTGAATATTTTTTTAGTTTGTTTGATGGATTGAATTGTAGGTTTTATTTCTTTTATATATAACTTAACTTTTAATTTTAGTTTTTTTTTAATATATTAATAGGTTTACTGGGTTTAAACATCTTTCGTGTCATATCGTGTCCACACGACCCGAAACCTATTAACAAAACGTATTTATCGTGTCAACCCGTTTAACCCGTTAACAAATCGTGTTCGTGTTCGTGTTACAAATTTGAACCCGTTAACCTTATGGTATCGTGTTCGTGTTTAGCCTTATCGTGTTCGTGTCATTATCGTGTCGACCAATTAACGAACCCGTACACACGAATTGCCAAGTCTAATTCTTTCCTCAAAATATCACACTTTCCTTTACAATACTAACAATCAATTTATCCTTGATTAATACTAAACTTTCAAAGATAAGTATTACACTTTTCAGATCCAACCCATTCTATAAATAGGAATTCATAAGACAATTTCATAAGAGAATCACCCAAGATGCTTTGGTTCGACGCTTAAACTACGGAGCAAGTTCGAGGCTTAAACTACAGGGCAATGGAGGATCATTGACCTTATAAAGAAGGACCATCACAAAAGTTTATTAAGATTTACTTCTAATAATCTTTGTTCATAGCGTTACTCGTACGTAGTTTAACACTGTTTAAGCCATGGAAAAAAACAAAGACAATTTGGTCCCACCTAAGTTCGGTCAACGAAGGGAATTATTGCTTGTTTGAGTTCTCATCCATAAAGATACAATTGTTGTAAAATAAGTTTGTTTGTAGGCCTTAGCCCTTAATTAGCTTTGATGAATGCGAAGAACAACCGGAAATATAAAGAAAAGATATGGAAATATCAGGAAGACAATTTCTTATTCAGCATCTCATTTCACTTCATTCAAAGAGTACAACATATATATTGAAAATAATATAATCCTTTCAATAAATGCTAAAACCATTGC